CCACCCGAATGGTTGAAGGCCAAAGGGGGAGAACATATGAGAAAAGACTAGAGGCTTTAGGGCTTTTCTCATTAGAAAGAAGGAGACTGCGAGGGNACGGCACTAGGGGGCATGAGTTCAAGCTCATGAAGGAAAGATGTCGACTAAACATGTGAAAGCACTTTTTCAGTAATAGGTTAGTCGATAGCTGGAACCGGCTTCCCCAGGAAATAGTCGACCTTCAAACAGTGCAGGCCTTTGAGACTGCACTTGACAAAAGCGATGGGTAGAACTATTTCCATCACTGGTAGTGTAGACGACTGTAGGTGTGCCAATTGTTTAGGATGCCATTTCCGTTTTTCACTGGTGCACGTTATGGAACGCTCACGTCTAACAATTCACTCGCCAACTTGATGAGATGAGATCCTATTTCTAATTTTCATTTCAGCAGTGCTGGGTGCCCACGTTGTGAGCATACCCTCGAGGGAATTCTGGACGCTCGATTGGCCGTGGCCATATTCAGTCCTGTGCAACCTGACCTGACCTGAACTGAACCTGGTGTTCCACTACGGGTTTGTCCAGATCGCGTGAAAAGATGCGTTGGTTTTCCCTCAGAGTAATTTTCGTCACAGTTCTCTTATTGTTAAGTTATATACTAGTGTGTATTACAGCACAAGAAGACTTAGCTTATCAATTTCCTCTCGGGGTAATAGCAGGTGCGTGATATTTCGCTTCGGTCACTTTTGATGCGTTATACATTCAGTTTACGTGTCAATGTAGATAGGCGTGAATTGGCCAAGAGGTTTCGCGAACCGCCTGGGTACGTAGCTTCTCATCGGTGGCTCATCCAGCGACCATCGGATGCACGGCTTGAAAACAATCTTTTTGGTTCCACCAGGATAATCAAAAATAATTCTGAGGAGAATAAATTCCTTGCAACTGATGTGCATGCAACGTTATCTGGCATACCAACTACTCAAGACTTCTCATACGGTGAGATAACATCGGTAAGTCACCTGTAATACCAGATAAAGTCCTAATAATATCCGAAATTTATTTCTCCAAATTTTTTTGTTACACAATGTTGATTACACTAAGAGGGGAAATCCCCGTGGACAAAAAGCATGCCTAGTATCCAGTCTAGTGATTCCGCGTTAACAGAGTGTAAGGTTGTAAGTCGGGGAGAAGAGAGAGTAGGACGGTGTTCCACAGCTTAGAAGCCAGGGAAAAGATTGGAGCAGAAGAGTACGACATTTAGGAACCGAAATCTGATAAGGATGACTAGATGTTTGTGTACGGAATGGGTGGACAAAAGTTTCGGGAAGAGGCAAGCTCTAAAGAACGAAAACCAAATTAGTAACGGCAGGGCAGGACCAATGAGGCAACCACCGGACGATCTGCTAGTGACTGCAGATTAGACGTTAGGGAAGGGTAATCGATCAGCCGAGTGGCCTTACGTTGAACACGGTCAGGAAGAAAATCAGAAGTAGACAAAGCCCCACATCACACCTGACTGCAGCATTCGCGTGCGGATGTGAGCATTGTACAGCAGAGGATGAAAAAGCGTCTGACGCGGAATAAAAAATCAACCTTGGGGGCAGCACAAGGAGCAAGCTAAACTATGGAATGAGACCAGAATTATGAAGAAGTTCTAGTCAACCCAAGAAGGAAAATATGGTTTGTGGAATACAGCTAGGTGGAATCATAATATGAGTTGAGGGGGAAATGAATGGTGTTTTGGAGAAATTGAAAGAAGAGAGGTTTTGGAACCATCGAGCGAAACGTGGTTGACGGTTCCCCAGGAGATGTGTTCACGATCAGAGTCTAGCGACAATAACAACGTAACTGACAACTAACAACGACCGGTATTGGTGTGAGTATGGTGAGTAGCGCGCTTGGAGAGAGAGCTTTTGAGGGTGGTGTCATCGACAGTCGAGTGGATTGGGTCGACAGATTTAGAATGGAAATCGTTGAATTCACAGGTAACAACTGAGGTAGAACTCCATTAACTTTAGATGGAGATGGTTCGCTTACCAGGGAAACTTGATATTCACAGCAGCGAGTGAAAAAATGTAAGAGAGATGGGTCGGTAATTGTTTTGGTCAGAAAGGGCGCCGCGTTTGGGTACGGGAAAAATCACGAAAGTGTTGGAAAAGTAGAGATTTGGAGGGGAAGCCTAAAAACGATGTGAAACAGAAGCCAGCCCAAGAGCACACATTTTGAGGACGATGGGTGGAATACCTTCCGGACAAGTGGGTTGTTTTTTTAGAGAGCGCAATGGTTTGCAGATTTTCTTAGTGCTAATATGGGGCAGAAAATGGTTGTTAGTGAAATAGGAGGGTGGAGTAGGATGATTGGGTAAGGTGGAGTTGGCGGCAAACTTGAACGCAAAACCTCAGCTTTCTCGTGTGGTTGACATACAAAATCACCAGAGGAATTACAGATAGGGGGAAGTTGGAAGGGCAGGCATTGCGGGAAATTGCTTTGGCAAGCGACTAAAATTTTCCGATGCCAGTGGAGGACGAGACCAAGTTTTCGGCTCTACAACGGACGAAGTGTTCTTTGATTGTCTGAATGATTTTCGGGCATCTGTTTCTAGCTTGCACGAAGCGATGATGGGAGTTGGAAGTTATCGAGCGGCGGGTGGCTTAGCGTTTTAGGCGTATAGCACGATTACATACGTCGTTAAACCACTCTGGGGATATGGGTTTGCAGGGTTTAAAAAGTGTGCAGTAAAAAGGAAAGTACCTTGAAAGACAATTTTGGTAAACTTAAAAACAGATTTGGAAACGTCCAAACAGAAAGAACAATCGTTCCAGGTATGAAAAAGCTAAGGAATCATGGAACCTTTGGGCGCCAGATTGCGTGTCTCGAGGTGGATAGCAAGTCAGGGCTGATCAGCCTAATGAGGTAAAAGAAAACCTCTGCGCTCACCTCGCATCAGTTCAACGGCGAACCGGGCCGAGCGCAGTTAGAGCAAGCGACAAAATTAGCCGGTGGAGAAGGACTTATATATAATCAGAACACTGCCACTTCACAACCACCAACGATGTCAACTCGGCTGGTGATGAAACGTTTTCAAGCAAATTGCCCAGCTCGGTGATCAGGCGCAATGGAACTCAGTTCACCCTAGCTACGAGTACTGATTTTCAATTCTTTGTCAACAGAGGAAGAAGCGATATAGTGATCTGATGATCAGCATTGGCCAGCTAAATGCAGTCAAGCGAACTTCTCTGATCGCTGACCTACTTACAATGCATGCAAAGTCGGTACTAATTGGTAGGGTGGTTAGTCAGTCTGCCTGTTTTGATGGGGGATTGGGAGAATATTCCGCCAGGCAACGACTAATTCCGTTTTTTGGCTTTTTTATAACACATCGAAGTGTGATCAACAGAAGACTGGGCGAACCCCATGGTTACATAAATCTGCTGTTTAGTGGTGAAAGTCGGTAACCTAAGCCCCGGAACTTGGAGTGCTTCGCGAGTTGAGGTGTGGTATTGAACCGGACGACACCACTATCTTTCTAAAGGCTTTTCTTAAATAGAAGTCACCGATGCCATATGTTTCTACGTTCATCTAGCAGATTTTTTACTTTTGCTTCATCAGGACTTCTGACTCCTGATATACGTAATGCTCTAATTTACTTCGGGCTCTACAAGCACATTTTCCGCCGAAATGCGCCAGTAATTTGAATCCATTATTGACTTACTATGCCACGTTGCAGTGCTCGTAGCTTGTGTCTTCAGCTTTCTACAGTACGCCTACTGTAGTTTTATGCTCTGCCGTCAATTTGAG